TGGACTGTGACCATGGCACAGGAGTAAGCCTGTCGTCATTGTGTAACTAGGAACCAAGGCTGCCTGCGACCCTTCCCTGTCACCTCGCCTCTGAAGGCTCAGAAAGCAAGCTGGCAACAGAGACCACAGCTGAGTACCGAGCAGCACAACGGCCACTGAAAGTCTGGTGTCTACGTCTTTCTTGAACCACACATTTTAAGTTATCCTGCACGATGCTGGAAAAAACTTCAAATATACTTTCAATAGCATAAGCGAGCTGTTACATTATTTTCTTACCTTAAAATGACAGCTAATAGTTTAGAAAGAGTAAATCTGTCTCCACTGTTACTTGGAAACACTGAAGCAAGGATCAAGGTAAAAAGTCCTATGTGGGGAAGAAATGGGATGAAAAAGTCCATTAGCTTAGATACTATCAAAACGATTTACTACCAAGTTGGTTGTTTAAGTAAGTGAATTACATACCTAATGTTTAAGTCATGTCATATCATTTGTAAACAACTAAGAATAAAGACGCAGTAACCTAGGCTGAAATTCTGAAAGACTATAAAGTTCTTTTACAACTAAACTTCAAGAATACAGATCAAGTATATTTTCAACTATTAAGTTAAATGTAACATTCAGACCTCATCAAAACAAGCCTGTGTGCTCAAGTTATTTATTTATTTTTTAATAAAAAGCAACTCAATCTTTATTCTGATCTCTAAGTTTATTGGCGCTTACCATATATGCTCAGGTATTTATGGTACTTATTGGCACTTACCACATATACTCAAGTATAAGCCGACCCAACAAAATAATAATAATAATTTATAAATTATCCAGGGCTCGTGAGGTGGGGGGGTGGGGGACGGGGGCAAGGAGGTGGGGATGAGGAGCTGTTACCAAGGGCTCAAGTAGAAAGTAAATGTTTTTAGAATGATGAGGGCAACAAATGTACAAATGTGCTTGACACAATGGATGGATGTATGGATTGTGATAAAAGTTGTATGAGCCCCCAATAAAATGATTTAAAAAAAGCTGACCCAAATATCAGCCAAGGCACCTAATTTTACCACAAAACTGCATTTAAAATGTGCTGAGAAACTTGGCTTATACATGAGTAAATACGGTAATTAACATATCACACAGTTCAATAGTTCAACAATATCAAGAGGAGTTGTACAATCATTACCACAATCAATTTTAGAACATTTTGTTTTTTTCCCAACACCCTCCACCCACCCAGCTAAAGCCATTTTTAAAATGAGTTGTGTAATCAACATCAGTTCTAGAGCGTGCTCCTTCCCCAGTCAAGTTATTTTTACACCTGAAAAAATACTTCTTTTATCTTCTGGATTTGGAAGGCAATTCAATTTTTAAAATTAAAACATTTTCCTTAAAGCAGATTATAGCTCTGAAATGAGCAATTACATTTAACCACAGAAAAACACCGTTAGAAAGGTTATGTGAAAAGAAAGGCAAATGAAATATAAGAGCCACTCTGTACATTTTTAATAGACTACTGCATAAAAAACACTACAAGGTATCTATAAAATATAAATAACACAGAACATAGCGTAAATCTATAAACATGAAGCAGTGATAATATACTGATGCACAACAGAACTAATATAATAATTTAAATAAGATGGAAATGTGTATACATATGCTTGTATGTGTATCAGAAATAAGCCTCAGATTATCAGATGTTTTTGAAGAAAAATTCTTACCAGAGGTTGAAGACAAAATATTAACTATAGCAACCTGTGTATCTGAAAGTGCTTCTTGATATGAAAAATTCGCCAAAAACCACTAAAGAAAAATGGAAACAAAGCGAATGACATATTAGTTATTATAATTTATAGCTCCCTTCTTGTTCCTCTATACACTGCTATCATAAGAGGTTTTCAAAGGTGCTTTACACGCAAAAAATCATTGGCGCCTAAAAAAGACTTTACTATCACACCCCCCTTATTAAAATTAACAATAGTTTATTAAAAATTAGCATTTGGGTTTTTTAATAATTTTGCTTAATATAATTTATCAAATCAATGTTAAAATGTGCTTCATCTGAGCAAAGCTAGCCCTCTATTGTTTACCTAAATAAAACTTAAATTTCTAGAAAGGCTTACACATTGAAATATGCCTTATATCAAAGCTTCTTAAACTCTGGGGCAAGTTCTGAAGACGGGGCTGCATAACTGAATGTGGGGTGGGAGGCCCCACAAAAATGTTAGCAACAGTCAAGTTTCTAGAAGCCCTGCTGGTCTAGTGATTACGCATTGGGCTGACAGTTCAAAACCACCTGCCACTCTGGGCAAGAGTCAAGGCTTTCTATTCCTATACAGTTACAGTCTCAGAAACTCACGGGAATAGTTCTACACTGTCCTATAGTGGTGATTTGATGGCAGTGGGAAAAAGTTTCCGAATGTGCAACAACCAAAAACTAATTCAAAATCTAACACGTAATGAATCTAACAGTGGTTGCCCATGCTGCAAGTCTCTTGGGTCAAAAGAAGTTGTGAGTGGAAAAAATTTAAACCCTGACTTATATAACATACAGATGACTAACACATGATGAGAAATCTGCAAGACAAGATTATGTGGACATACAGGAAAACATTATTTAGCTATCATAATTCTAAATTTACTGTGTGATTGTTTCTCTAATATTTAGCTTTGACATCAACCAAAGTTCCTGTGACTTAGAAAGTTTTCCACCTGTGAACATCAACCCTACCGCCCACTCCCCGCCACCATCATCACCTTCTCTTCTGTTCATCTAAGGTAGGATAGGCCCACCTTGATTCATGGAATAAGACCTCCTTTTGAAGAAAATTGATGTGTATTTATGTATACAAACTTCATTTACTTTCACTGTTACAATGTATTCTAATGCACACTACTGCAACCCATCCATTTTTTCTATTGGCCACTGATGATACTATTGTGAACAATGTTGTTATCAACATTATTATATCTATATTGTCTAGTACATGTGTGTATGAGTATTATTAAAATAAATACTAAGAAATCAATTGCTGGGTCATGAAAGAGTTACACTACGGAAGCAAGTGAGGCAAATTGCTAGTTTGTTTTTGGCATCTCTCTTGTTTACCCAGATTGGGAAACAATCATGTTTCACATACGACTCATCTCCATTAAAGAGAAACATCTCTTTGATCTCTCTCAGAACTTGCAGTTAAGGTAGTAGTATGACTATTAGCATTTAAGTGTCAACTACAGCACATGATCTTACAGGATTGCTAACAGCTAAAGGTCAGTAAGAGCCTAGCACACTCTATCGATCCTGTATCAAAGGCTAAAATCACAATGAAACTGTGACAAAATGGTTCCGAGTAGTCCACTGAATTCTAGATGATTTCACTTCCATGTCTAAATAAGAAAACGAGGGAGCAATGGACAAGGTTAGCATTAAAATGAACAATATCAAACACTACAGCAGGAGGGGCTGCCGGCAGCCTGTGCATGAAGTGTTCAAACAGGAGGGAGATTCTGCCTGAATTATCTTTTGGAGATTTTCTCCAAGGCCAGATCATGTGTACAGGGTAATAATTAGCTTTCTTGACCCACTTCACGTTTCACTTTAATACACAGATACTGTGTTCATTTTCCCAGTAAGCTCCCTGGTCACCACTAACGGCAAGATAAAGAAATAAAAGATTACTTAGGAGGCAAGCATCCAAACATCCTAAGGATTCATGATAAGCTATGAACTCATTCCAGACAGTTCTGCCTCATTCTCCCCTCTCCTACAACTCCATTCTCTGGAAACATACAGCACTCTTATCACAAAAGATCAAAATTATATTTCAATAAAAGTATTCTATAATGCTTTCTTTCATTTTTCAGAACTGAGAACCATATAAACATAGTGAATCACTGGCAAATAATTGATCTGCTATTTCCCAAGCAGTAATGAAATTCTTACAAAGGTATTCTTGGTAAAGCCAGTATCAAACTTACATTTGATTTTGTAGGGATAAAAATATACAATGTAAGCCTTGGTGATACAGCCATTAAAACGTGTCGGAGTTAGCAGAAAGGTTGGTGGTTCAGCTGCTACGGGACTGAAAATATGGCAGTCTGCTTCTGTAAAGAAGCCTTAGAAAAACTGTGGGGCCACCTGGGGGGAAATGCTCAGGGTGTGCAACAGAGCAGCAAGGGGAGCAAAGCAATGAAGTCCAAAAATAGACTTTGGGGCCAGGGCGTGGCACCCCATGAGACTGGACTAGAAAACACTCCTGAAAGTCCACAAACAGACCTGGAACTTCGTATAGGCTTTTTTCTGCCACTGTTTTTTTTTGTTCTTTGGTTTTGCTCTGTCTTGTTTTTGTGCTTATTATTGTCTCTGCATGCCTAGCTAGATAAGACAGGTGGGATAAACAATCCGGAGAAGAAAACAATGAGACCTACAGTTCCTGGGGACACGGTAGATGGGGAAGTGGAGAAAAGGAAGTGGGTGTTAACAAATGCAGGGACACGGGACAAGTGATCTAAAATCCACAGCGAGGTGGGCATAGGATGCCTGGTGGGGTTTGATCAAGGGCAATGTAACCAAGAGGAATTATTGAAACTCAAATGAAGGCCGAACATGATAGTGGGACAAGAGGAAAGTAAAAGGGAAAAAAGGAAAGAACTAGGAGGCAAATAAGCATTTATAGAGGTCTAAATACAGGCATGTAAATATATTTATATAAGGTAGCAGATGGACATTAGGCCTCTACTCAAGTACTCCCTCAACACAAGAACACTTTGCTCTAATAACTTGGCATTCCGTGATGCTCATCTTCATTACATAATTGCTGAAGACAAAGTGGGTGCATAAGCAAATGTGGTGAAGAAAGCTGATGGAGCCTGACTATCAAAAGATATAGTGTCTGGGGTCTTAACCCTATCACGCCGAGTTTGACGTTTTCGTAACATTTAATTAAAACATATCTGGTACCGAAATTATAAAGCTTTTGGAGCTGGCCACGATGTCAACAAAATTGTCGCACTTTACTAGCACAAATGCACACCGCTAGTCACGCATTTTAGCGGCAAAATGCTTGAATGGTGGCACATGTTTTGACCGATTGTGTGTTTCAGGTTAAGTGGTCATTGGCGTTCAGTGCTTTTTATGATAATTTTCAATCTAGTGAATTTTAGTGTTGATATTTTTTGTATATGTTCATAAAACTGTAGTTTTGTCAAAGGTGTAATACACATAAAAATTACATTTATTATATATTTCCATTTTTTCAAAACGTAACAAATTCGTAAAGTTTGTCTTTTGAATCGATGGTGACAAAAATGACCACAGCATGAATTGTGATTTGTTTTATGGAAAATGGCAAATTTATGACCTAGATGGAAGGGGTACAGACTCAGACAAGGAACCAGATGCTAAAATGGATGAAATTGGTAAATAAAATGTGTATTATATTTAAAAATTTTGATTTTACAATATAAAATTTTAATTATATTGCTATTCAAACTATTTTGATAACAATATTTATTTTTCCCATGATAGGAAGTGAATATACGCCTGATTATTCTGATTTGGCTGAATTAGAAGACCTCGTAGTTAGGAATGATAATACTAGTGAAGATGAGTTAGAAACTTCAGTTGTTGAAGTTGAAGACTCAATTCCAATAACTACAAGTTCAAAGCCCTCTACATCAAGAAATCGAAGAATTCCTCTTTGGCGGCACATTTCTGGCGACGGTACAGCTAGACCTATGCCTGAATGGTTAGGACAAATAGATCCTTCTGGGGGAGTAAAACGTCCTGTTGAATATTTTTAGACATTTTTCTCGAAGGAAATCATTACTCATATTGTCGATCAATCAAATCTTTATGCAATCCAGCAAAATCCCAATAAACCTCTTGCACTGAGTAGCCAGGAACTTGAGCAATTTGGGGGTACACTGCTTGATTTGATAGACTCGCTAAATGCACTGTACAGAATTCACATCAGACTGAAAAAATATCACAAATTATTTTTTCATTTTATAGATATGAGTGTTGTGAACTCTTGGCAACTTTTTTGTAGAGACTGTGAGAGCCTTCAGTTACCCCCCAAAAAATCCAAAGTCTGCAAGAGTTCAAACTGAGCATCGCCAAAGCTCTTCTTCTAGAAGGAAACAGTAATAGACCAACAAAAAGAGGCAGACCTTCTACTGGCTTTACTGATGTTGAGTTTGCTGACAAAAAGAGAAGAGGTTAGCCTATGAAACCACGAGGTGTCGAAGGGATCAGGTGTAAGGCATCATCAGAACAAAAAATCTTACCATAGTGAATGATGGGGGGAGTGTGGAGTGGAGATCCAAAGCCCATTAGTAGGCCACTGGAGATCCCCTTGCAGAGGGGTCTCGGGGAGGAGATGAGTCAGTCAGGGTGTGATGTAACAATGATGAGAAATACAACTTTCCTCTAGTTCCTAAAGGTTTCCTCCCCGCTCCCACTACCATGACTCGAATTCTATCTTGCAAGACTGGCTAGACCAGAGGAGGTACACTGGTACAGATAGGAACTGAAAATACAGGGAATCCAGGACGGATGAGCCCTATAGGACCAGTGGTGTGAGTGGCAAAACAGGGAGGGTAAAGGGAGAATGGGTAGGAAAGAGGGAACCGATTACATGGAACTGTGTGTGACTTCCTCCCTGGGGGACAGACAACCGAAAAGTGGATGAAGGGAGACGTCGGACAGGGCAAGATATGACAAAATACCCATTTATAAACTATCAAGGGCTCATGCGGGAGGGGGGAGCTGAGAGGGAGGGGAAAAATGAGGACCTAATGTC